GTGGCTTTGGCGTCGACCTTTGCAGTAGCGATGTTCTTTTGGGCTTTTTTGTCTGTCGGAGTCTTAGGGGGAACCATAGAATTTGACAGAGACGAAACTTAATGGTAGGAGAAAGAGATGAGAGGCAAAGGAGGTCCCACTGGGCGTGCCAAAAATTTGTACACACAAATTTTGTTCTCTGCAAATAAAGACAAAATATGGGCAAAATAATAATTTATTAAATCAGAAATATTTGGAGTACAATCCTTTGTGATATCTTTTACAAAAAGAATGGTCCTCTGATTCAATCTCCTTTTTGTGGCTGGTTGGATCCAAGGGCTGCACGAGCTTGTTCTTGAATAACCTTGGAATTTGATGAAGAACGGCACGTCGTTGAATGTGCTTGTTGTTAATCACCATGGGATTTTATGAAGAACGGCACATTGTCGAATGTGCTTGATGTTCTTCGTTTTTGGGTTTGGATTCTGAATTTGTGTCTCTGACTTCTAAGTCTCTGGATTTCTGAGTCTCTGAACTTCTGGACTTCTAAATTCTGAATCTCTGGATTTCTGGACTCTGAATTTGTGTATCCCTTTTTCCTTCCTTCAGGCCTCTATTTATAGGCTTCTTGGATTAATAGGATGATGATACGTGTCATCTCCTGATAAGGATAAAATCATAACTGGGCCGGGCCGGTTATATTATGATAATTATCCTTAAAAATAATTATTCCAAATATATTTTATTAGGAATATTATCTTTTCATTTAATCATCTGGGCTGGGCTAATTAAATAATTTAAGTGGACCAAGCATAGACCAATTAAATAAGTTAATTAAACATTAGGCCCATATTTAATGGGTCCATTTGTTAAAACCAAAGCCTACTAAATTTTAGTGTCCACAACCAGTAATCATGCCATACAAATGAATTATACTCATTAATATCATGCAGCATTGTTATTAGTGTCTATACATAATATATTAATTAATATTTAAATAACATTATTGTCAAATAAATTTAAATAAAAATGTCCTTTATAAAATGCTCTCATGTGATATATTTTAGTCAAAATTAATTATGAATATTTTTTTAAAATAAATTTATCCTTTTTAATTCAATTTATGAGTCATTTTCAGAGATTGCATTACCTGGATACAAAGTAAACTTCATCAATAAACTAGGGATACCCAAACTATATGAAAAGAGAAACTGTACAATGGAGGGCAACAAAGCCCAACACAAATCCAACCCAACCCAACCCAAAAGTAACATTCACTCACTGATCATATATGTAGTAGTGTCTTTCTTGTAGCCTTTTTTTTTTTTGTGTGTTAACATGTTAGTGGCGTAGTGGTATTAAGCTCTTACTTTTCAAAAAGAGATCAATGGTTTGAGATTCGGTATAAGTATGTGTGTGGTACCAATTAAGAAAATAATAATAATAATAACATGTATGTTGTTGTTTTTTTTTACAAGTCACACAACACATATACTTTAGATTAGTGGAGAAAAGTATGGATTGGATTGAATATATACATATAATATTTGAAACACATAGGTATGGATTATAATTGAACTTAAAAAAAGGAAAACAAAAATATACTTTTTGTTTGCACCATAAAATTAATTTTATTGGACACATGGTGTTGTTTGATTGGAAGAGAAAATTTATATCGTGTTATTAAAATAGGACTCATATATAAAATTGGAGTCTAAAGTCAATAATTTGCTTACGTCAATTTTATTCCACAAACACGATTCATTTGGTTAAGTTTAAGACATAAAAAAACAAAAGGTGGATAAGATTAAGACAATGGTAGTTTTTATAATTCAAATGATGGTGGATAAGATTAAGATAAGGGTAGTTTTTATAATTCAAATGATATTTGAATTTAAAAAGAAAACTGCTGCTACAAGGTTTTTCTATAAATAGAGACAAGAGGAGTCTGCACAAAGGTCCTGACCAACACAACGCATTTTCTTTATCAATGTTTTTCATTCTCTACAATTTCATTCAACCTTTAAGTTGTATTTTACTTCTGTTCATAGGAGTAGCCTCTAGTGTTATATTTATAATTCTTGTACTCTGTATGGGAATTTTACTTATGAAATAAAAGTCGATGCTTAGCTTCAGTCCCCTTAACTTTTATTTTCTAAGTCTCTTGGAATAGATGAATGCTCGTGTAATTTGTTTTACTCCTTTCATCCATTCTACATATAGTGCTGAAAGTCTTTTTTATTGAGGCGTTGAAGAACCTGAAGGAAGGGGTCATCCTTGCCTTCTAGCAATCGCCTGATTCACTAAGGGTCGATTTCATATTCGGTCAGCACCAAGGATAGTTTGGCTATCCAACCTCTTGGGTCGAAAGATTCTGACACGCCTCTAAAAAAAAAACAACCAAATACTTTTCTAATATGGTTGTTTTAGTGACGCATAGGTCAATGGCTTTAGTGAGCCTTTTTAAATGATTTTTTTTTTTTTTTTTTTTTTTTGTGAACATTAGGCCAGTTAACGGATCAAATCAACCGAAAGCATATATAATTTATTTAGTTAACAAATTATTAGATCGATTTGGCTTGCTAACGGGTTCTCAGGTTAAATGTTTCAATTCAAATCATAATTATTTTAAATTTTGATTAAAATCAAATTCATTAGTCAGCGAATTATAATTTATAAAATTAGGTGGAGTAAAGAATTGTTAATATATAGTATGGTACATCATATACCTATGTAACTAAATAAATCTAATGGTAGATAATCAATATATATATATATATACACACACACATAAATAACTTTAATGATAAATAAATAATATATATATAATATTTATTATAATTTAATAATATATATAATTTTAATCGAATCGAATTAATATTAGATCGAATTGTCATTAATTCGTATCTGATTTATTTAAGTAATGAATTATCGAATTTGAATTATTATCGAGTTATCGAATTTTTTATTCAATTCATATGCTCATAATCGGATTTGAAAACTTAATTCATTCACAGTTCTACTAGATACATTTTGAGAGGTAGAAACTTAATGGGGGTAATTTGAATCAACTTTGAAACCAACGAATAAGTGAAATTAAATCTAGAATTAGAAACGGAATTGAGAGTCTATACTACATCCATAATACAACATATTCGATTAAGAATACAATAATATTAATGTGACACCCATAAACTAGGGGGAGGGGAAGAAAAATAAAAACAAGGGGGGAACTAGAACAAGGCTGGTACACCCCTCCGGAGAGATGGGCGATCAATTAATTAGGTGTAATGAATAGGGTATTTCGCGATTCAACCTAAAATGATAAATTATTAGATGAAACTAACACTCAGCTAATATATATTTATTTCACTTTCTATCTGAATCTGAGGTGGAACTAATACTCTATTTATATATATATTCATTTCACTTCTCATCTAAATCTAATATGGGATAAGCGGACCGAGGAAGTACAGGGAGCACGTGTACCCCACTAAATTTTTCCCTCCCTTATTTTCTATATAATTTTTTTTTCATTAATATTTACACTCGGTGACGAAATTTCTTCTGAAAAAAAAAAATATTAAGCCAATGGGTAATGCCCCCATACAACATGTTATGTCAAAAATGCAAAACTCGCACAATATATTAGGATGAGTTATTTTGCAATCAAATCGATTGCTGTATTCTCCATTAATTTTCAGCATGGTAGCAACCTTTTCAGGTTTTGAATGCACAGAACTGCATTCGCAGTTCCTCTCACACATCATCATCATTCATCACTAAGCAAACTCTCTCTCCACCACGAGAGGTGGTGTGTCAGAAATCAGGATATATATATATATATATATATATATATATATATTTTTATTTATTTATTTTCTCTAGAGTCGTCATACTCCACGAGCCCACTTCATGAACATTCTTGATGCATGGTGCGATGGACCACACAAATAGGTGACAGACTCTTTCCCACTCATTTATTTGCATGTTGAGGTCCATCCATTAAAACTGTACTCCCCTCTCTTCTGGTTGTTCCAGATCACCATCCATTGTCCTACACACCCAACTCAATCCGAACCATCATAATTAATGCACATTATTCATTTCATCTAGCTCTTCACCTCTATATATAATATTATATATAATATCTGCTGTATAACACTTACTATTGTAGTATTGTTATTTAATTTCCTCACTAAAATAGAAATTATGATTTGTACTTTCAATATTTTGTAATTGATGCCTATTTAAAAAAAAAAAAAAAAAAAAAAAAAAAAAAAAAAAAAAAAAAACCTATTAACAATATTAGTACTCCTGAAATATTTAACAAATTATTTCAAATTCAATTTCCATGGACCATAGTAAACTCATAACATATATATTAAAACACAACCAATACTTTTCAAGCATTATATTATGACTACTAAATGAATTATTTTTTATTATTTTTAAATTTTCTATTTCATATTTTTGTTGAAATATTTCTCAAAATTAGTTACACTTTTTTGTCTTGTGAAAATTTTATAGAACTTAATTATTTATCTTTACGCAAAAGTAAAACTAAATTTTGGGAATATTATGAATACATGAACTTAGAAGCTTTATTTTACGATCATATGAATTCAAAGGTCTTGAATTTTCAAAAAGATGAATTTAGCGTTCAATTTTCGTTGTTCTTCCAACCAAGCACATGGTCTTTTTTGTACATGCTATAAGTAAATAGGCTCGAGATTGGGGCTTGATATTAATTTAGAGAATCGATACTGTCATTAAAAGCTCAAGTGTGGCATACCATCTTGACACAAATCTTAATGTCAACTACTAAAGTACCATCATATATAATATTGTGAGATATATATATACATATACATATTATATGAGCTCTTCACTGGCTAAAACTACCCCCTCTTCTTCAAGTCAACATGCTCAGAACTAGCTCTCATCTTCCCCAAAAGTCCATGATCCACATCAAACAAGATGACAATCCTCTCTCTAGGGTTGTGTCCAAAGAAAGCTCCATGACCAACCCTTCTTTTAGAGTCTACTATGGAGTGTCTGGTGCAGTCCCATTCATGTGGGAGTCTCAACCTGGTACCCCTAAACACACATCTTGTGACACTTCTCTTCCTCCTCTCACACCACCTCCATCCTACTACTTCAACAACATTAACACAAACAGTACCAAAAGCTCGAGATCCGAATTCTTGAATGCCTTGTGGCTAAGGATTAATAGGAAGAAAGCGCGCGTGACAGTGTCACATGCATCACCATCACTGTCATCATCGTCGTCGTGGTCGTCGCGTTCATCCGCCATGTCTGTTCCAATGAGACACTCCAAGGTTCATGGTCAAAGCCAGCTTTCTGGCGCGAGATCTTCAACTTTGTTCCCGGTGTTCATCGTGAAGAAAGCTTTGTTGTCCGTGGTCAGCTGCAGATCTAACCTTTGTCGTGAGGCCAATTGGGTTGTTTGGTAATTACTTCAGCTACCAAAAATGGCAATTGAAGTGTATGCTTGCAGGACATATATATATATGTGTGTGTGTGTGTGTGTTTTTAATAACCAAAACATATATGTGTGTGTGTGTGTGTTTTTAATAACCAAAACATCTGAAATTAAGCTTAGGTTATCAAGATTTTTGTAATCTTGATACCATTTTCTTATATATATGTATATCTTGACCATTGACTTGCCCACTGTCCCTCCTTTATTTTAATTCCCATTTATATGTATGTTCACTTAATTAGAGGCTTGAATTTTTTAATTTTTTTACTTGAAAATAAAATATATTGACAAATGGGAATTTTTATTAATGCACGAGTCACACACACTTATATACTCTTAAGATCTAAATTATAAATACCTTATTTTCAACTTATTGAAACTTTTTTCCCAAAATTAGTTTAGTCAAACAATTATTATTTGGGAGAGGATGGAGGAGGCATGGGAGGTACTGCCACTAAGAAACTTCTTGGGGGAAGATATGAAGTTAGTTTCGAGCTTATACTGAAATGGGAATTGAGCTCTCTAAGATTTAGAATAGGATAATTTTTTGTTTTTAAAAAATTATATAAAAAATTCTATTTAGTTCAATTTTCTGAAAACTATTTTATGAAAATTTAACTATAAAAAGACTTGTTTTCAGATAACTGTCTTTTATTGTTATTTAAAAACTATTTTATGTTCTCTAAATTTTTTTAAACTGTTTTTAGAATTACAAATCAAACGAATCTTTAATCTCTCATTGTTTCTCAATAGTTCAGTGGTAAGTTGTAACTAGACCGATTTATTATTATTATTATTATTATGGTAGTTTCGAATCCAACTCAGAAAAATTTGATTCATTCTGAATTCTTTACTATTGTTGTATATACATCAAACACCCTAGACTATATGTTGATAAGTGAACTAGGCATATATGTAAAAATTATACAATTATTCACCACTTTGAGACGGTGCAATTCATTTCCCCAGCATAGATCTCAAACTGATCAAGCTAGAGATGACAATGTTAGACGAATAAATTTTAGGGGTGCATAAAGTTTTGTGATGGCATAAAGTGTGTGTGTGTATATACACACACATATATATGTAGATGATTGGTGGAGGACAGTGCAGGTAGATGAATATCTCAGGCTTTGTATATACAGATTACTTGTTAAATGCGAAAAGGATTGGCGGGTACAAGTTCCTATCTCAATATTTAATATCTTTTGGGTAATCAATTCATGCTACTAAAGAACCAAAAGGGCTATATATCCAACAAAATTGAGAGCCTAGGGGAAATAAAGGCTATACCACGAATTGAGTGCCTAGAGTAGGTGGAATCAAGCTAACATAATTTTTTTTTTATTTTATTGTTTTGGTTAATTATAACTCGCAAGTTTATATATATATATATATATATATATATATATATATATATATTAATTTTATTTAATTTATTGCATGCATACTGAGATGTGATTGGCAACTGAAATTGTGGATCCCAGCTCTAGTATTTAATTAACGAGTACAAACTTATAAGAGATTTTTTTATATTTGTCACCCATATGATTTGAATAAGTAATTTACTTTTATTATTTAGTGATTAAATAGAATAAATATCGAATTAATATTATATTATTTGGTCAACTTATAAATTAGCTTTTTGGTAATTAATTATTAGAGAAATATTTTTTCATTTATTCCTTACTTTAATGGAGAGTGAAATTAAAAGTTACTAAAAGAAAAGTTGGTCATCTCTCTGCCTTTATAAGAGTACATATTCCCATCAGTTATGTACGCTAATGAAATAACACGTATAATGTTTATGTGTGCAAAAGGTCAAGAGAGAGAAATCAGTTTCCACACTTTAACTTACAGTTTATCACGTTGTTCATTTCGCATAAAGGATCTCGACGTTTGCCTTGATATCTACAATATTTGTAATTACAAATCGAAATATTTATATTTAACTTTTTATTTATGCATTATAGGTATGTGAGAATAATGAAGTTCTAAGATTTGAGATTCATGTTTAATAATTTGGATGAATAATTAAAGTTTACATATGATATCAGAGCATACGGTTTATGAACTTATTATTTTTCATTAATGTTGCATAAGTTTAAATTAAAATTAAATAATTTAACTTATTAGATTCAGTATTTATATATACATATACAGTAGTGTTCTCATGGAACTGTTTATGCGTGATATGTTTTGATCAATTTCTTAGCATCAAACAATTAATCAAAATTGTGTGCCTCGATTTCCGAACTTAAATGAATTAATGAAAGTTGAATAATGATACATAGTTCACATGATAGTTTCCATATATGTAAAACAGATGCATAATGTGGGTAAGACAAACAACATATATGTTTTAGATTCTCAATTTTTGGGTATGATTTGAATGATACATGAAATTGGAAAGTTGTAAGTCATGTTTGTTATTATTTTTTTTTTTTTTAAGAAAACTTATTGGTATATAACTTGTCTAATGATTTCAAAGAATCGTGTTTTTAATTTTTAAAAAATTAAAAATAAATTATGAAACACATGAAGTATGTGTATTTATTTATTTTATTAAAAATTTGTATTTTTATAATAATACGTGAGTCTAAAAATTTAATTTAATGTTATTGGACATGCAAATAATTATTGTTTTATGCCTATACATACATACATATTTGAGAATTAATTTTAAATTGATTCAATTATGATCTTCAAGTCCGAAAATAAAAATAATATGTTTTATTATGTATAAAAATAAAATGATATTTTATTTAATTTTTGGACTATTAAGTTTCTGGAATTGAACCTACCTAAATTTGGATCGATCAATATGAGTATGTGTGTATAATGTTAAATGGGTAACTTAATGATGAATCAATCACTATCTAATTTAATATTCATATTATGTGAGGGTTAATAACTACCAAAGTGGCCTAACTATAATGATTGATGAATATTAATTTTAGTAGTAGACATAACTAATAATGAATTAGTTACTAGCTAGTAACTAGTTTAATATTCATATTATATAAAGGTTGGTAGCTACCAAAGTGGCCCAACCATAATGGTTGATGAATATTAATTTTGGTAGTAAACAAAATTGCAATATTTCATGAATTATAATTCTTATGATTTATTGTGATATTCACGAATATTGAGTTTATTTAATCATGAGAAATACTTTCCCAAAAGGAATTGATCTTCAAGTGATTAAATGAATATTAAGGGATTGTATATATTTTTTAATTGGGTAAATATAGGATATCTAAAGGTAACTTGTCTGTTTAATTAAATAATGCATCACCAATAAAGGTATACATATAAATACATGTAAGTATTATTAGTAGTATTTTATAGTTGACATCCAAAGGAGTATTATAGTTATACATTGTATTTATATATTAAGTTATATATACGTGTTGTTAGCTCAAACCATTATTATTGTGAGTATTTTATCATATTATGGTTGTTTTATTGTATTCCTTAATTTACATGCTACATTTGTTCTAATTCTCAATAGGACTAACTTCTCATAATGAAATGAGTAAATTAAGTTCAAAATTTAGGTGTGCTAAATCTTGATTTAACATTTTAAATTAAGAAACCTACTGTTATTATTGATAAAGACAATGAAGAAAAGATACTCTATAAAGCTTGGGAGAGATCGAGTAGATTAAGTATTATGGTTATGCGAATAATTGTTCCCCATAATGATAGTGGTAAGAAATATTTGACTAGAAGAATGTTTTCATATTGTAGATAAATATCTAAAATGAAAATTATTAATTTATATCACTACTATGCATTTTTGTTGGTATTCTTATCATGTATAGATATGTTCTTAAGATGACTAATGTTGCTACAAAATTGAGAACCTTATGAATGATTGTAAATGAGAGTTTTCTTATTCAACTTATTCTCAATTTTTTGTCTACTCAGTATGGGTCATTTCGAATTAATACTATTAAGACAAGTGAAAAGTGAAAGAATTGACCATTATGTTAATTTAGGAGAAGATAAGGCTTAAGCAACAGGTAATCATTATGTTCATCTCGTGACTCAAGAAGTTAGAAAGAAATTTGGGAATAAGCCTGAAAGGGCATTAAGTGAGCAAACCCCAAAATTAAAAGATTTAGGTCAATCTACTAAAAGAAATTAATGTAATAATGTAAAGGTATCATTTATGTATTGAATACTTTTAGAAAGATTTCATGAAACATAAATAATGATTCGAAAAGAAAGATAAATCTTTTAACTTTTGTATATTTCGAATCATTTATTGATATTCCTTTTAATATATGATAGGTTGACTTAAGTACTAATGTTTATATTTCTAATAGATGTATTGATTTCTTATGGCCTAAACCACAAATTCAAATGAGAATTTCTTATTTATAAGAATTAAGAAAAAGTTTTATTAAAACCATTTTGAAATCATTGAGACATTTTTTTAGTCTTAGACAATGAATTTTATTTAAATTATTTTAAACTCTTTATTTTTCTTCAATTTTAGTTAATGATTTTTTCTTTAAGTTTGATAATGATGTTTATTCAAGAAATCCTAATTTGTGAGTTATGGTATTATTGTTAATGATTTCTATAAATTCAAACCTGATAGTTTATTTATTAAAACCCTTTTGACCTTGCATCATAATGTTAGAATCAAGTATAGCTCAATTAATGAAAATTCATTTATCTTGTGACATAAAAGACTGGATAATATTCAATGAAAGGTTAGAAAAATTAGTAAATGATGTGATTCTTCTGTATCTAAAATTTACTGATTTTGGTGTGTATGTAGATTGTATTAAGGGTAAACAAAGCAAACACACAAAGAAATGAGCTATAAGAAATACAGAGCTTCTTGAAATTATTCATACAGACATTTATAGACCTTCTGATGTTCCATCTTTTGGTGAAAGAAAAGTTTTTATCTCCTTTATAGTTGATTTTTCACGTTATGGATATATCTATTTG